TGATATAGTTCTTCTTCTTATGACCTGCAGCTCCATAGAAGAAATAGCCACCCTCAGTTTGTTCCTTATGATGTTTCTTTTGTGATCTTGTATTCGTAGCTTCCTTATCAGTTTTCATTTTCTTGTTCCTTTTGTCATTAGAGGTGGTAGCTAAATTAGCACTTTCGGTCTTGTCATGCTTTAATCTTTCCTCTTCTTGGAGACAGTGTAAGATGAGCTCATTAAGGGACCATAAGTCCTTTTGACAATTGTAGCTCACCTTGAATTGATTGAATTGTGCCTAAAGGGATATCAGACCAAGTGCACTAACAAGCCTTCAGATAAATCCAACTTGAGTATCTTTAGTTTTGAAGCAATGTGAGACATTTTCATAACGTACTCCCGTATGTTTCCTCTCCCTTTGCCAAAAGTGTACTAGTTTCAGCTTTTTCATTCTTAACAAACCTCTTCTCAAGGTCCTCAATGAAACCCTTTGTCGTAGTCACCTTATCGGACATAGTGCCCCAAAACGCTTCTGGAATATCACGCTTTATGACCATCAAGCTTATGTGGTTCGATCGTTCCCACTTTTTCATCTCCCTCTTGTCATCAGAGGTACTTTTATCAGTAAATGCAGAAGGTTGATCGACCCATAAAGCAAGGTCCAGATCCATGACTCCAAGAACAATCATTACCTTCACTCGCCATGCCTTAAAGTTGGTGCCATGAAGTATTGGAATTGAATTGATGCTAGCAGAGATATTGGCAGCAGAACCTGAAACTGAATTAGAGAACAATTAATTGGAAGAGCACACAATCCTTAATATGCAAATAATAATTTTAAATAATGGTAGGGTTCATCACAAGATACCTAGCACAACATTAATATTTAGTCATTGGACAAAAATATTTACTTGTAAGCAGCACTCTTGACGTAGTGCTCAAATATTGACAATAAAGAAACATGTCAATCAATAAACTTTTCTTTGGACCAATTTATTGATCACACGTTAAACCAAATAATCGCCACATGTTTATCACCATATGTGTACGTACAATTCGGCAAATATTGAACTTCCTTTGGATCGATCAAATATTCGCATGAATAACACACACAAACACATTTTAATATTCTAAGTTAATTAATTTTCACAAGAGATATTGTTTTGGTAGCATGTTGCTTCAATTAATTCATTTTCAAGTATCATATCTCTCAAAAGAATCATTTGTACCAAAATTTGAAAGAGAAAATAACTGAATTTGCATATTTGATTTATTTTGAAACTTTAGGGGCCTAAGGGATAATAATTCAGAACTTTAGGGATCAAAAATTAATTATCCAAAACTTTAGGGGTCAATAATTAATTATTCAAAACTTTAGGGGCAAATTCAAATCAATTATGAACTTTTAGGGACTTAATTACAAATTTTACAACTTTAATGGCTCAAATTAAATAATTTTCAAATTTCAGGTATTGAATTATTAAACCCAGAACTTTAAAGGACAAATTTGAATGAATTTTAACCTTAAGGGGTTGAATGACCAAAGTTTTAAATTTAAGGGGCTCAATCAATAAAAATTCATATTTTAAAATTGCAACCCTAGCCCTAATCTAAAATTACAAACAAGGGCCTTAAATCTTCTAATTTATAGCCCAAGACCTCGCCCCTAAAATCCACAACCCTAAAAAAATGAGAGATGTGAAAGAAAACCCGAAGGCGGCGCTGGCGAGCCCAAAAGCCGACGCGGCAAGCGCTGTTCGCAGCGGCGACAGGCACTGTGCACTAGGCAACGGTGTTACGCCATGAACGCAACACCATGCATGTTGCTACGTAGGCAGTAGTGCCCAAGGCAACGTTCGCGTGTTTCCGACCAAATAAAGAAATTTGAAATTCTAGAAAACCAACCAAATAATTTTCAAATTTAACAAAATGAAATTGCTAAATTAAAAAAATGAAATTATACAAGAACCAAATTAAACTTTTGATTCTCAATAATTAAATATGAATAAGCTCTGATACCACTTGTTGGAAAAATTATTTACCGTCATATTAATTGTTCATGTTGGATCATAAAAAATATGCAAATCGAAGCGAAAGCGTATCTGAATCAGACATGATTAATGCAATGAATGAATCCTATGATTTTAGTTTTCCAGATCAACACGTAGTTCTTTATTTCTCTCTGATAATGAGAGTCAGAATAGAATGAACAAAAATGCATGACCCCATAACCACACACACACACACACACACACACACTAACGGCCCATTAACCTAATTCGACTCATCATGAACTTAGGAACATGCCTGATCTCTACACATAAAAGCTCATACTTTAATTAGATATTTCAAAGCTCAAAATACCGAAACTTTATTAGATCACTTTAAATGGGCTTAACCAAAATTAATAACCTTTAATTTAATACACAATATTTCACATATAAGCCCACAAGTTAGATTAAAAATCCTTACAAAAGTATCTTGTAAAGCCTTAAAATTCGATCCTAAAGTTTAAGCTCACATGTTCTATTAAAATCTTTACATGTCAGACACGTGGCAGCAATACCTTAAGAAAAATAATATATCAGCATTCATATTTTTGGTATTTCTTTCAGCAAATGAACTTAAGCTATTTTTTTTATATGATAAGTGCGTTTTGTGCACTTAATCGAGCCAAATTACTAAATTGGTTGTGTTCTATTATGGGTGTAAGGAAATATTGACCATAAAAGGATTGAAATTACAAGTAAATCAACAACACTAGATTGGTTGTGTTCTAATATGGGGTGTGGGTTCAATGTTGGCTAATCACATACACTAAGTTGAGTATAGGATAGGTAAAAAATTATTTTTTGATGTTGTTTGAATCTTTATAAATTGTTGACTTAAATTCGAACTTGGGGCATATGGGAAGTAGTTCAACATTGAGTACGTTATTTATGATTCATTTTAGGATAGTAATATGATTTAAACCTAAGTTTTGTTTTGTTCGAGGATGAACAAAGGTTTTAGTTTGAGTGTATTTGATAAGTGCATTTTGTGCACTTATTCGAGCCAAATTACTTGACTTTATGTCGTCCAAAAGTTAAAAATTATCTTAATTTAGGTTAATTTTTATTTGTTTCAGTGTTTGACCCATTTCTATGTAATTTAAAAAGAAAGAAGGATACAGAGGGACAAAATTAGATAAAATGTGCAATTGTGGGATCAAATTCCACAAAGTAGAAATTGAAGAGGACAAGGGCTGCACAATTGATGAACTCAAGGACTAAATTGCATTATTTAAGAAAGGTGTGGCCTTGGAGAAAATATTATTTTAAATGGGCTTGGATCAAATTAAAATTGGAATGGAAAGAGAATCAAATGGAAAAGAGACTCTTGGGATTAAAAAAAAAAGGCGGTGGCTGAAATCGAAAGGACTTGGTTTTCTTTTTGAAAGTATTTCTTTTTTATGAAATTAGGAATTGATTTTTCATTTTTCACATTTTTTCTTGTTTGATTGGCAAAATTTTCTTGGCAAATGATTTTCCACCTAACCCCTCTTTTGATCATTTTTCTTAGTTTTAGAAGAAAAACTTTTCCCACCACTGTGGTGGGAAAAGCTTTTTCTATGCAACTTTTCAATTTTTTTTTTTTTTTTTTGTAATGAAAAAAAATTTCA